GAAGGCGAAAGTTGACGCCGCCAAGAACAAGGACCCGGGGTACGATTGCACGCAAGAGGAGCTTGACGCTTACGTTGCATCAGAAGTCAAGAGACAATTCAAGCCTCGAAGTCCAGAAAAGAAGATTCCTATAGACCCCAGTGTCAGGAACTTCTTCAGGGGTATGTTTGCATCTGTCAAGGAGGCCATCAAGCTATCGGACTATGAGCGAACGCTGAAGAAAGCATCTTCTGGAAAGTCCAAACCAGTCCCTCAGCTTGGAGAGCAACCAAACCAGGAGATCGAGCCGTTGGTGACCGGTAAAGAAATGACGATAGAACAATTTATTACTGACACCGGTCTAACTACGGATCAATTGCTAGGAGTCGCACCAATCGAAAAGGCGGAAGTGAAATACATGTACGAACTCGGTAAAGCTGCTGCAGTCCCTACCCACACAAATGTACAAGTTCCATCAGCTGTACATGGAGATGAGCGCCACCGGTAGAGAGATGATCGGAGCGAGGATCAGGGACACGGACTTCTTGCAAGGAGATGACATTCTCTGGATCAATTTCAGGGGAATCTACGAACTATACCAGCTGGACGCCCTCGACGTCTCTATTATGAGTTGCTGGATTTTGTAAGTATATCGTTCAGTTAGATTTCTTACTATACGTCTCCTTTAATTAATTAGGTCCTTGTATATAAGTAGACCATAGAAAATAATATACTCCCTTTTATCGTTGTAGAATGGAGATTCAAAGGGCCCGACGGCGGAGGGTTTTCGATACTGGATTCATCGACCCTCGGAAAGTAAACGTCGCAATGCTCGACCAATATCCACAAGAAACAGAGGACAATCTCGTCCATCTCCTGAAGGCGCAGCATTACAAGACGTTCATACTGTTGCCATACAACACAGAGTTAGTTTAATTTTACTGTCTTCCTACATACCAAATTTCATTCCCGTACGAACTTGCTAAGTGTTTCATATGTAATGCATCCCACGCACATTGCAGATTCCACTGGGTGCTTTTACTCATCGACCTGGAGGCCTGCACCGTCAACGTATATGACTCAATGGATAAAAAAGAGTCTACGTTTGACAAGGTTTTCGAACTTATAGACAGGTACCGTCATAAGTTCCTTTGTTAATTAAGAAAATCTTGTTATGTTAATTGCTACTACGAATCATAGCTTTAAACTCCATGTAGGGCTTGGTATCGGTTCCGTCATTTGGTCCGCGGCAAATGGAGAGAAAGACTTAGGCGGAAGTTCAAATTTCCTGTGAGTACACATGCTCTACATTTATATTTCTCCGATTCAAATACATACAAGTGTATATTAATTAGATCTCTCGTTGTTTGTCATTTATTTGTAGTGCGCAAAGCAAAAGCAGGGAACTAACTTGTGCGGCTATTACGTGTGCGAGTATTGCCACTGCCTTGCAGACCAAATCATCACCACAAGAGAGCTCGATGTACGTACAAATAAATTCAAAATTTCATTACGTAGCGATTTCTTGTTTAATTACTAATCAATTTCATACATTCATATAGTTTATTCGCATGAGGGATAACCTGACCACACACAAGGAATTTATCGCGGCGGTTCAAGAACAACTCATGGGATTCATCAACGAAGAAATCCTTGATCCCAAGGGTGAATTCTACTACGACGGAAACACAATTCACCGGTCCTTAGCTTCTGAGCTAGCAGCGAGTACTACTACGTCGAAATCGTAGCTAGCTAGGATATATAATGGATTGTAATTAATACATGACTACATATGTTTCTATATGCATGTGTACACATTTTCTATAATGTAAATATATTTTGTTCATATATATATATCTATATACATATGCATTTGCATAACATATATATGTATAAATACATATATATATGTATGCATATATATGTATTGAAACATATATATGCATGGTTTATATATATATATATATATATATATATATATATATATATATATATATATATATATATATAAACCATGCAGCAACAGGGGCATGCAAAAAAAAAAAGGTCAGCTCTATCTTTAGTCCCGGTTGGTAACACCAACCGGGACTAAAGATGGCTCAGCCGGTTGGTGTTACCAACCGGGACTAAAGATCGATCTTTACTCCCGGTTATTTCACCCGGGACTAAAGATAGCGATCTTTAGTCCCGGATTGGTACTCCCGGTTTGGAAACCGGAACTAAAGGGGGGTTACGAACCGGGACTACAAAGGGTTTCTCCACTAGTGGTCATATGCGTGGGAGAAAGATGCTCCTTCTGCATAGCACGACCACGACTCCACGAGAGACGATAGACAACAAAAACAAACACACCATTGCGCTGTTCCCGGTTTCCAACGATAATCGCCTTCGCGGAGACGACGATGGCGTGCGGGCGGTGCAGGCGTGCTGCAGCAGGAGATGGGAAGGGAGAGACGGACGGGGACGCGGCGTCGATCCGTTGCGCGGCGCGCGCCGACCTGTTGAAATTAAGCTAGCGCGCGCGCGTGGATCGGACGTACACGTCCCTCTCCATCTGCAAAATGCGGACGGCAGCGGACGGCCGCGCGCGGATCGCGTCGTGTTACGGACTCGTGCCGTGCCGTGCCGTGGCGCTCGCGCGGCGGCGCCGAGCCGCCGACCCATGCGGTGTCGACGAGGCTGAGACATGGACGCGGCCGCTCCTCGTCGTGCACGCCACGCCCGCCGGGCGCCGGCGCTGAAATCTGAAGAGAATTCGCGGATTACCTCCTGGGCCTAACTGAACTTTCAGGGCCAACTGTTCAGTTTTCTGACGCAGGTATGAAAGACCGAAAGAAGAGGAGGATGTGGCCTGGTCTGTCTACTACTTCCTCCATTATAAAATGTAGGTATTTCTAGTACAGCACCTTGTCCTAAAATGAAGCTATTTCTCTACCTCCTACTCTCAACCAATCACAACCCTTATTTTTCACCTACTTTCTCTTTTTAACCAATCACACACTTTCTCCAGTCGTGCTAAGCCCGAGGGGGTTCGAGGATTAAAACTCCAAACCCCGTTGGCCGTTCGATTCGGAGTATACGGATCAGATGAGCCGACAATTATCACGGTCTCCTTGCACACATCAGCACACATGCATATTGGTGCGTGCGGCAGGCGGCAGCGATGGCGGTGGCATGGAGTCCGGAGTCCACTATGAGGAAAGAAAGCTGTAAAGGGAGAGCAAGCAAGGACTGCCATGGCAGCGGAGAAGGAAAATACGGGTCGGAGATCCGAATTCCGACCCTCCTGGGGTCTCTGATGGCCTTCCAAAGCTAACGTTTTTAACTGTGTATCCGCTAAAAACATGTAGTCAGTCAGATCACATTGTCAATGTAACCAAGACAGTGCTGAAATAACTAACATTAGCCACATCTGAATTATTGAGTGCAATTCTCGAAACCATAACTCTGTGCTAGCTGCATAAAACAATGGGACCATGAAATTCTACGGCAGCACCCTCTTTTCGAAAAGAACAAAATATCTTCCCTAACAAGATCAGAGGCATTTTTCTACTTCGCCCTAGAACTTTGCCAAGTTGACGCTCTACATAGCTTTTCTCTGTCGTTCGTGAGTGCCATGGTGTTGGACCGAAGCAGGGAATGGCAAGGATGCGGCGGCTGTGCTGCTCCGGCGAGGTGTGCGTGGAGAGGGAGGGGTTCGGAGAAGAAAACTCCGCCCCTTCCTGCCCGTTCTATCAAGAAACTCCCGAAAAGGCCGTGGAATTGGGCTCAGCTTAGGCCTGTTACGCAGGGACGGCCCAATAATGGCCCGTATCTAGTCGTTTTGAATTTGTGATCCAGAAAATAGAAATTACTAGTAAGAATCAAAGACCCCATCTACTACCTTCGTCCCTAAATAAGTGCAGTTTTGCACTGTTCATGTCTCACGTTTGACCATTCGTTTTATTTGAAATTTTTCTACGATTAATATTTTTATTGTTATTAGATGATAAAACATAAATAGTACTTTACGTGTGACTAACTTACTTTAATTTTCTCATAAAATTTTCAAATAAGACGGACGGTTAAACGTTGAACACGGATTCCCACGGCTGCGCTTACTTTGGGACGGAGGGAGTAAGAAACTGGATATTATGACAAGACGCAATTTGAATTTATTCAGGACTGCAGAGTGTCATGTCTTCAGCATAGCTCTGATTAGTACTCCTACATAACTCTCGACTATCATGTATGTGTCGCAACAATGGCGTACTTCTACCTTATGGAATTAAGAAATTGATAATACTCTCTACTTTATCTGAAAATGAAGAGTTATATGTTCTCAATATCATCAGAGATTCATAATTTCTATTACGAGTTATGTTATCTCTTTGACGCAAGCGAAATCAGAGACAAAACGTCATACTCCACTAACTAGACTCTGCGATTTATCTGAAAACTGAAGAGTTCTATGCTCTCAATATCGTCAGAAAATTCAGAACTTTTTAGGGGCTGTATTATCTCTTCGAGGAAGAGCAAAACCAGAGCCAGAACCTCATACTAGTTGGACTAGTTAATTCTTCAGTGTAAAGTCCTGAATTCTCATTATTACAAACAGAAGTATTAGCTCCAACTTCACCATGCATGTAAGGTAACAATGGTAGTCTTCTCCTCTTAGGGATGAAAAACAACGGGAAACATTTAAAATCTGGCTACTTTTATCTGAAAAATGTGAAGAATTTCACGTACCTGACATTATATCCGCATTGCAATTTGCAAGTGCAAGTACGCTGTATCATCTCTTACAGCCCTACAGGCAAACGAGAGCAGAGATTTTATTTTTTTTACAAAAGCATCAAACATATTTTGAACTCGTGAGTTCGCTGGATATATGTTTACCTGCTTAATTACGTACGAAAATTAATCCAGAGTCCAATGTCATTACATGAATATTCAAAGTTTCAAACCCCAAATCTCTAACTGAAAATGCACTATATATTGCGAGCGATCCCACGTAGCTCTTCACAGCAAATCAGCCACCTCTCCACCTCCACCCAAAGCCACCGATCCCGACGAGAGAGATGGCGCCGTCGTCCAAGCTCGCCGCCGCCCTCTTCTTCGCCTTCGCCGTCGTGGCGGCGACGCTGGCGCCGGCCGCGGAAGCGAGGGTCCAAGGGTTCGAGCCGGCCATTGCCGTGGAGAAAACGTCGGTGAGCGGAGGAGCGCAGCGACCGCCGACGACATTGCCGGGATTACTACCCGGCTTGCCGTTCCCGCTGTTCCCGTTCCTGATGTTCCCGATCCCTGGCTCGCCGGCCGGCGCCGGCGGCGCTCCGCCGTCGGCTGGGTCCGGCGGCTTCCCGTTCCCGTTGCCGTTCCCGCTCCCGCTCCCTGCGCCTGGCTCGCCGGCCGCTGGCGCTCCGCCGTCGTCTGGGTCGTCGGGTTTCCCGTTCCCAATGCCGTCCCCGCTCCCGCTCCCGGCGCATGGCTCGCCGGCCGCTGGCGCTCCTCCGTCGTCCGGGTCGGGTCTCCCGTTCCCTCTGCCGTTCCCGCTCCCGCAACCTAGCTCGCCGGCGCAGCCGCAGCCAAAGGAGTGCATGACGCCGCTGATGTCCGTGATGCCGTGCGCGGACTACCTGACGAACACCGCCGTGCCGACGCCGCCGGCCACCTGCTGCGACGGCTTCAGGTCGCTCGTGAGCACCGCGCCCATCTGCCTCTGCCACGGCATGAACGGCGATCTCAACAGCTTCCTCCCCACGCCCGTCGACCCGATGAAGATGATGCTCCTCCCGATCACCTGCGGCGCCATGCCACCACTGCAGACGCTGTTCATGTGCTCCTGTAAGTTAAAATTCGATTAATTACACCTCATTAAACCCTAGCACAAATCATGTTTATTTATTTTTAATGCGCATTGTCTGTTTGATGAAGGGATTAATCTAATCTGTTGTTGTTGTGTTTGACAGCTCCATCGGTGCCGCCATTGGTGCCTCCGAGGTCTCCTGCCGCTCCAGCGCCTGCTAGCCCCTCCGTGTCGCCATAGATCTTCAGGTAAATTCATGTTTGGAATTCTCTGAATTTTGAACAATCTGTTTTTTTTTAAAAAAAAAGTGATCCGGATCTAACACCTTTTTTTATTTTTGTGTTTTGGCAGGTGTGTCGCCTTGGTATATCTGATGCTTCACCACAGCCACGGTCGTCTTAGTTAGTATCAGGAGTTACTTTATTAGGATGAATATATTGCCCTAAGTAGCAGGTTAAGGATGTGATTAGTTATCAAAGTGTTACTGAGTTACAGTCATGTAAGTTCTCGTAAATGGAATAATAAATAGTGGTTTTGTGTGAGGTTGTTCTTTGGTATTTTCGTGTTAATGTTATCTTCCGCTAAAGATCCCATGTTTAATGCTTGGTTTCATGGCTATTACTGCAATGATCCATCAAAATTGAATATTTCTCTCCGCAATAAATAAATAAATAAATAATTGGGCTATAGCTGGGCATCGAACAGAGGAGGTGTTTAGATGAGGGGTGTAAAGTTTTAGCGTGTCATATCGGGTACTCCCTCCATCTACTTTTGATAGTCATATTTCATATTGCCACACAGACCAAGGATTAGTAATTCTACTTATCATCCATTTAAACATGTTACTAATCATTCCTCATAAATAAGCGATTCATTAATATTTACATTTCTCGATGTCCATGTAGTCAATCTTTCAAGAGGATAGATTGTTGGATTGAAATATACCTATAAAAATATTTTTTTTAGATTTAGAAATATGATTATCAAAAGTAGAGAGGGAGTATTATATAGGGTGTCGCATGGGGTGTTCGACACTAATAAAAAAAACTAATTACATATTTATTAAACCTAATTAATTCGTCATTAGCAAATGTTTACTGTAGCACCACATTGTAAAATCATGAAGCAATTAGGCTTAAAAGATTCGTCTTGTAAATTAGTCGCAATCTATGCAATTAGTTATTTTTTAGCCTATATTTAATACTTTATACATATGTTCAAACGTTCAATGTGACAGAGTAAAAAATTTTAGAGTGGGATCTAACCAGGCCCTGAGCCTTTTCTGGATCCATCCCTGGTCGGAGTTCATTTTCCTGAACCCCCGCAACGTCATGAACCTATCAATTCGAGTATTCGAACGCTAATCTGCTTGGACTCGTTTTTTTTTTAAATTCTCACAGCTAGCTTTACATTCGAGAAAATAGTTACATCGTTAAGAAGAAGTTGCCGAATGAAATCAGGGGGATCATCTATCCAAACAAAAGAATTTTTGCCTATCAAAGCTTGCCTAGCTAGCTCATGAGCCACGACATTACTATCTCTAATACAATGACTAATGGAGATAGAAAGAAAATCTTTCCAATACTGGGAGCATTCATCATAAATCGCAACTGCTGCCGTGGCAGAAAAACCTCCCTCTTGCATTGTTGTGACGACTTCCATGCAATCCGATTGGAATTCCACACGACTACGACCGATTTGTTGTGCCAATAATAATCCATCTCTTAAAGCTGCTGCTTCAGCCATGGTTGCATCCACCACATAAGGAATATAACTATATGAAGCAGCGATAAACCCACTCGTTTAATTAGTCGTTTAACTGGCTTGGTTTCTTATAAGATAAAAATTATTCGATTTTGAACGATTTGGGTAGATTTTTCTTTCTAAATACTTTTCATACGATTAGTATAATTATGTTAGATATTATCGTTGTATTTTAATAGAAAAACAATATCAGAGTTACACACAAAGACCACAGGATTATATATTTTTCAGAGGAATAGCTTATATTTAAATATGAAGGTAAATTAATTTCAAAGAAAGCTCAATAAAAAGCGGAGCCAGCACGATTTCCGCCCCTAACCCTGAGCACAACCACACGTCGCCCTTAGCAAGCAGAACATCATACTGTTCCATCGGCCAGCATAGTACTTACCAGGCAACATGACGAAGTCAATCACATACTCCCATAACTCATGTCCGAGAAGTGCCTTAGTATTGGTACATTAAACCAAGACGGAAAAGAAAGGGTAAAACTACAGACGATCACTTCACTAGACTTAAGTACAACAAAAATTTTCCTTCGCCTCGAACTTGAACCAACGCCAAAATTGTGTATTCTCGCTCCTTCTAACATCTTCCCCGTATGTGGGTTTTCAAATTTAACTGCAATTTGTCTACGGCTAGAGCTCCTTCATCCGTGCCTTTCATACTTGTTTACTCCTCGACTTCTTATAAGCTTCCCTGTTAGAAGATCATTACACCAAATCAGAATAAAGCAACGAAAACAACAATTCCAAGGCATGAAAAGGCACAACATCATTGTACTATCTCACCAGTCTCGCCTCACCATCCAGTTTCTTTTCCTCTTCTCTCCTTTGCCCGTATCCAGCTTCTTTCCTTTGTTACCTGATATTCTCTTGGGAACAGATTTTTTTATTTTAGCAGACACAGGCTGCTTTTTTTCACTTGTAGGCTCTTCTTCGTTGTGTGTTTCTTTCTGGTCTCCCTTTATTTTAGTACTCTCAGGGCCATTGCGTTTCTTACCCTTCTTGTGGTTCTTGAGTGTCTCATGTGTCTGCCTTTTGTCCTTAGTCACCCCATCAAGGATGCTTGTCTCTTCATTCGTCGTCTTCACATCTTTATGTTTTTTTGACTGAATGGGCTGTTTTTGAGGATCGTCACTGCTAGGATCAGCCTTCTCAATTGCTTCTTCAGGCACATTAGATGACTCAGATGCCACTGGGATCGTATTGCTCAATTTTTTAAGCTGCGTCAAAGGAAGTACCCTAATCAGATGGTATGTCCAAACTAAGCAAAGAAAATTAAACTTTTCATAATAGAGTTCAATACATTCAGCACATCCTAATAATGAAATAAGCACCTGATCAAACAACCTATTTAATAGATTAGATATTTCACCATGAAGTTTAGCATTGGTGTTACCTTCGCAACAAAAAAACCATCCATGTTGTTTACATGGGGATAAAATCTCCTTGTTTTATCTAAAGAAGTATGGAATCGATGCTCTCGGAACCGGATGAATCTGTAGGATAAACGGATAGTAATAAGATAAAAATGTAGAAATTCTTCATAACAGGTCATGGGAGAGAGATTTACAGTACCCTGGACGCCCAAAATCTAATCCACAAGGTACAAGCTTTACGTTTCTCTTTTTAAGGGCATAGTCAACAACCGCTTCATTCTGCAAGAATGGAGAGAGGTTCAAGAAACTAAGTTGACTATCATTGAACTGGCAAGGCCAATGAACTTACCTCTGGAATCATCAATGAACATGTTGAGTAAACAATGTAACCTCCAGTTTTGGAGTTGGCATCAACCAAATCAATAGCAGCTAATAGCAATTGCTGTAAAACAACTCATCAGTTAGACAGTAAATAGTGGTATACATACCAATTTCAAGGTGATTGAGGTACTCAACCAGTATAGAATAACAGCTCGATTTAGAAAAAACTGACCAAACAAAAATTGTGTAGCTTAAAAGACCAAATTATGATTGAACACAATCACATAGCTTAGCAAATACAGATTAAGTAAACATAATCCATAAAAATGAGCAAACAGAACATAGCAATTCTGGGGTTATATGTTATTTCCATGTAAGAATCAGCACAACTGCACAATATAAATTGCTTAGAAATGACCCCCAAAAAACAAACTCAACACGAGGACGAACCAATAATGTTTTAAGCAAGTGACTTGGTTAAGAATCAAAATTGGAATAATGTGAGTGGAATGCAGTTCTTTTCCTCGATAACATAAGAAGAATTGCATTTAGAATTGTTAGGTGGGAATATGCCAAATGGTAAGTAGGTTCAATTTAAACAAGACCTAGAAATACAAGAAATGCACCTTTTGTACAAAAGCACAGTCTCTGATGTCCTCAATGCCCTTCGACGTTTTAATTTGTGGATCCTTCCAAATGGTCTGCAGAAAAAGTAAGCATCTGTTTAAATAAATGAGAAAATATGACAGGAGTAGGAGCTTATACGAACTATATGATGCTTACCCCTGTGCCTGTGCAGGGTGCATCCAAAAGAACTCTGTCAACCGAATTCATCCCAAGAACTTTAGGTAGCTGAAATAAACAGAATGTTATCACAAAATAGGTTTTCAATGAGAAAATGCTGCACCCAATTCAAGCAACCAAAAATTATTAGGACTTGACATTTATCTTCTCCATGATTAAAATGGACCAAAAATTATTGGTCAGAGATTATGTAACAATACTTATAATGTGTTTTCATTCTGTTATCGTTTTGTACAAAACAATATACTGTAGTTACATTATACTAAGTACTTGACAAATACCACAAATCAAGATTCTTTCTTAATGCATAAAATTAGTTGATTGTGTTTCGGCTATCAGATAGCACGTTAACAATATTTGTACTGTTTGCTCACCTCTTTACCATCATAATTACAAACTATGGTATTGGTAACACCCATGCGATGTATGTTGCCCAAAAGTCCATGCAGCCTTTTCTCATTGAACTCATTTGCATAAATTATTCCTGTGCATGACAAATGAATAAAACAGTATATTTGCATTTCAATTGGCAAGAAACCACACAAAACAAAATTACTCCAATGGAGGAACAAAATGTATTTAAAAACAGGCAGCATACTGACCAGTATTCTTCATAAGAGCTCCAATATATGTAGTCTTGCCACCTGGGGCAGCCCTGGAAACAAGAAAAGAATGAGTTCCTGATCAGAAACGAGGACATGAATTCCATGAATTCAAGGTAATTAATTCAGTTGAATGTATCATCAAATTCAGAAGCAAAGTGGTATATCAAGACAGCATGACTAGATTACATACATGGCATATTACAATTACATGTTCATTGAAAAAAAAGGATCACATAATAACTTAGAAGTCATGATAGTGAACAATTGCCAAAAGTGTATGAGACAAAGGAAAACATCTTACGCCATATCAACAATTCGCTCTTTCTCCTGAGGAGCAAGAGCCATCACAGGTAAGAAAGAACTTGCACCTTGTTTCTGTAGTCACATTTTTTAATACCAACATTAGTGGAAGGAGAGCAAATGAAATAATCTACACACAATGATATCGGAGAAGAAGGTACCATGTAATGCCCAGCCATATATTCAACAGTGGCACCAGCTGAAATGGTGGAGTCGTATACAACAAGGCCTACCTGCCATTTATACCAGGAGAGTTGCTTTGGGATGTTGGATATATTACTTGAGTAAAGGAGAAGATCGAACAAAGCATACCTTTGACCACTTCCCTATCGGATCCAGATTAAATCCTCTTGGTATAAGAGCAGCAGCAAGATCCCTTCTCCGGGTCTGCCAACATCATGAACAAAGCAGGTAAGGACGATGAAGAACGCAAAGAAAAGACTGAAGCACATATAAAGAATCATGTATTCCATGGCACCACATACATACATATCAGGAGATCTGAAATAGTTACCTTCAATGTATTTGTTCGTAAGCATTCAGGCGGTCTTTTCTCAAAAGATTCCAGTAGTTCAACAAGCTCCACAGCTGGGAACATCTGCGCAGTAAAAATATGTATACTGTTAACTCATAGCAGGTAAACCATGATCATATTTTAATAAGCATGTCAGACAATAATTTCTAATTATAACCTGATGCAGTTGGGGAAACGCACAGCTCAATGGAAAGAAACAAACGGCACCAAGCTCACCTCAATAAATGCTTCAACGAGAAAATCATTGTATCCATAGTATGACATTATATCTGTCTTCAGCTGATTGACATAATCCTTTCGCGGCACATCTTTTTGCCTCAGCTTACTAAAGTTTGAGAGTACCCGGACAACTAGAGGGGAAGACCAATGGGCAGAAAGAAAAGTCAGAAAGGGAAATATTCAATGCTTCTATCACAATGCAAAATGACCATAGTTATAAAGCTTAAATTTGCCCTTGGAGTTTACACAAGAGAACAGCTACATCTTGTTAGCTCACTAATATTATGCCAAATCTCAATTGAGTTTTCTCTGATTCATCTAAAAAATTCATAAACTTGATAATGCAAAATATATATATGAACACACTTTCTGATATCCTCCTTTTAAGATTCGGCAGGTTTGGTGGTCGAAGTGCCTTGGAGTTTACACAAGAGAACAGCTACATCTTGTTAGCTCACTAATATTATGCCAAATCTCAATTGAGTTTTCTCTGATTCATCTAAAAAATTCATAAACTTGGTAATGCAAAATATATATATGAACACACTTTCTGATATCCTCCTTTTAAGATTCGGCAGGTTTGGTGGTCGAAGTGCCTCTTCCTCCAACTCCTGCAGAGCATACAAACTATGATATATGTGCACATCACTTGCGGACCTTCAGCGGCACGTAAAACTGAAGACATAAAAGAAGGTGGAAAAATCAACCTCCTTTGTGGGCAATCGGAACTCATCAGATTCTGATCTAATATTGAGCTTGAGCTCCTCCTCAGCCTCTTCTTCTGCCTTCTCTTTCTCTTCATCAATCGCTCGCGACTTCGCCTCTAAGTCATCAGACTCATCTGAGTCCACACCAGAGTCGTCTCCTCCGTCTACAAAACACAATACAATCATCAATAGATATTCCCCTAGATGTACAATACAGCATTGCATTCCCATTATCGATTATTACAATACTAGCTCGCGTGAATGCTACAATCGAATGACTTGATGGGGAAAAGGCTGAAAAGCACGTTGTTAAAGCTAATTCGATTCAATAGTAATCCGTGCATTACCACTTTCGTCGTCACTGCCGGCGAGGAAGTCGTCAGCGAGGGGGTCGTCGTCGCCATCCTCATCGTCTTCCTCCTCCTCCTCGTCGCCGCTGTCTCCTCCCTCAAAGGAGGCGTCGTCCGAGTCGGAGAGCTCCTCGGCGCCGGAATCAGAGGGGACGTCGAGGTCTGACCCGGACTCCACCTCCTGAAGCTGCCCCTGCTGCTGCTCCAGCTCGGAGTCGTCGGAGGACGACTCGAGCAGCCTCTGCTTCTTGGGCGCCGCCCTCTTCGCCGCCTTCGGGGAGGCCTTCCCCTTCTTCCCCGCGGCCAGTTGCCGAGGCGGCGGCGGCGGCGGCTGCCTGCGCGGCGCGCCCTTCTTCGCCATGGGAGAGAGAGAGAGAGAGAGAGAGAGAGGGCGGAGAGGGGAAAGAGCCGCTCGTTTTAATGCTGGGCCTCGGGCCCTCGGCGAGAGAGCTATAACTACCTCGCTTGCTAGATGGGCCAGGCCGGCCCAAAACTTGAGTATATTGATCCAAAGAAATAATGGGCCAGTTTCGCACGCGTCCCCCGTTTCAACTTAGAAAAACAATATGGCAAAAGGTTCATATATTCTCCCTCAATCTGCAGGCCGAGTCCAATTCATGTTCATGAACTACAAAACCGGGTATAGATGCTCCGTCAATTATTAAAACCGGACCAATTTACCTTCCCGAATGGTTTAGAGCGTGGTTTCCTCCTACGTGGTTCCTATCCTATGTGACATGCTGACATGTTCTTCATCTTACGTGACATCAACTGTGGAACTTATCAGCAAGAAAAAAGAAACGAAGAGAATTGTGAGGCAATGTTTTTGAACTTTTTAAGAACTGTAAAAGGGTAAAATCATGAAGTGTTTCTATGTACAATGGACTCAGCAATGGCGTACAACTCTTGGAGAATCACCTAAGTATGCTTATAGTACAATCGACCAACCAGGATGAATAATCCTCGTCAGCTCATACAGAATCCTCATGCTCCAAACCAGGCTTCTCACCATCCCCAGCAGCTTTGGGCTTCTGTGCTAAAGGCGGTTTCTTCCCGGTTGTCGTCGACTCTTTCAGACCCAGATAGGTGTAGACGGACATGCCACCGAGAGCGACGATGGCTCCGCAGATGCTGGTGATTCCAGGATCCGAGCTGAAGATCAGGTAACCTGAGAGCATTATGACTATGGTCTTGAATTGCCCCAGCACAACGTGTGACAGAGCTGATGTTGCGCTGCAACGATCAAGAGCAAGTTAGTTAGAAGTGATCTCCAAGCTGCATTTTATTGCAGAAATGGAGTGATTGTTGCAGCCATGACTGAAAAGTGATGCATGGCCAAACTGTTTTCAGGAACCAATAGTATGGTACATGATAAATAGGACTTCTTGATAGTTGACATGATGTGGTGTGCTAATCTCTGTCTCCAACAAGCTGAAAATGTTACTCATTCAGTTTTTAATGAAAAACACAAGTATTAGGGAAGGACCTAATATCAAATAATTAGGAGGGGTGAGGCTTCGAACCCAGGTCGTCTAACCCACCACCTTGTGAAGCTAGCCGGAAAACCCCAGGACGTTTCTCCCTTCAGTTTTTAATGGCTGACATTGTTGGCATTTAAACATACCTTTACCACTTGTCTTATTTTAAAAACTATACATATATACAAAAAAGCCATAGTTATGAGGTAACAAATAACAACAAAATAAATGATAATTCTATATTTCTTTTGAACAAGAAAAAATATCAAACATGTGTTTAAAAGTCAATAGCGTCAAACATTAAAAACCAGAGAGAGTACATTTGAGCATCATAACAACCTGAGAGACCTTGAATGTGGAATTATCAGCTACTTATAATTAATGGAAGCTTTAAATTTCAGTTGAAGTGTGACTGAAGAAATCAAACGTGCAGGTCATCTATCTTATTCACGTCATTTTCATGATCCTCTCCCCCAACAAGATGCCAAAACTAGAAGCTAGGTTACATCAATTGCAATCCTATGTAGGCCTTGTTTAGTTCTAAACTTTTACTTCAAACTTCCAACTTTTCCAACACAACAAAACTTTCCTACACACATAAACTTCCAACTTTTTCATCACATCGTTCCAATTTCAACCAAACTTTTAATTTTGGTGTGAACTAAACACACCCGTAGTAAGATGTAACTCTATCGTTTATCGGACTCTGCACGCCACTAGGAATGTCATATGGTCCATGGGAAATTATTTATTTCAGATATCACACTCATTGCAAGATACAAAGAAAAAAAAAAGAAAGATAAGAAAGCAGGGTTGACCACAAATCCTGGGAAAAAAAGAGCCATTTTGAATGATTGAAGCCAGCACAATTACGTAAAGTGATGTATTATATCTCACCCAAGTGCCAAAGCGCCAGACCATTGGAGTAGGAAGCCAAACAAAGCAGAAATGATAATAGCTAAGCTGTTCCTGAAGTTCCAGTCAAACAGCAGCAAGCCCGGGGGATCCAACAAAGGCATCAGTGCCAATAAGAAAAATATCGTGACCGGAGTTGTCTTCCACATCAATCTGGTTAAACAATCCTTATTACTTAGTGAGGTAAAACATGTAACAAGAGATTGGAAGTAAATTCAGAGCTTACGCAAGGGCAGTCCAATTTCCACTCTGTTGCAAATTTGACCATAGAATTTTGTTTACTGCACTAGGAACAATCCAAGCCAATGCTACAACAGCACCGAAGAAATTGAACTCTAGATCAGTAACAGTGGCTACGGCCACTCCAAATGACACAATTGCCAGTGTGATAACCTGCAATGTTGGAGACAGATTTGGACAAGAAAAAACAACAGGTTAGCACTCCCACAAGCAAAAACATGCACACAGATATCGTGAGTGCAGTCTGGTAGAGGGAGAAGAAAGCATGCACACTAATTTTTTTTTCTTCTAGATTTTAATATTTTTCTTGCCTGTTTTTGTGCTTAATGAGTGCAGAGTTGAAATTACTGTGATACCATGTGATAGCAGTAGTACAGAATAGCGTAAGAGGCACATTTCGTCAAAGCCTACCTTTTGAGAGGAAACCCTTTTCTGGAAAATCATAAATTCAGCCACAACAATTGTTGGAGTTACAGCAATCTTAGCCATTTGATAAAAACCTACACTGAACAGCGGAAAATTCTGAGAACACATAAAGCATATAAAGTCAATATGACAGAACATAAAATGCAAGTGCAGTTCGCTGTCAAATAGAATCTTGTTTACCTATTATGTTTTAAGCTCACATTAGCAAGCCCAGTGGAGAGAGACATTACAGCACCCAAAGCAAATAAAGAAGAGAAAGGTGTGGATTTAGAAGGAGGAGCAACTGGCAACATGGACATCGTCTTAAGGATGGCCATTAGAACAAATGCAACCGCGTAATGAATTAGCGATAGTGCAATTGGGAACTTAAACCCAACACTCCCCATCACCTACAAAGACAGTAGATCCTGTGTGTGAACAATCATGTTTCCTTGTAGACCAAAAAAAAAAATTTGCACGAGTATACAAAAAACTGTACACTTTTTTTTTAAAAAAAAATATTACTACCATTTTGTTTGCCATGATGATACCAACAGCAACAGCAAAATTAAATGTCAGTGCAACACTTGGTCCACAGAACCGCTGCTGCTGTCGCTTGGCCCCTTCTGAGCTATGCATTTCATTGTACAATGAACTCCGCAACTCCTCCAACGCACGACCTGCTTTGTTCAAAAGTCAGTCAGGAAGCGATCGAAAAATGGTCACTTTTTCATGATTAACCATTGATGCAGGGAACTGCAGCACTTAATTTCCTTGGATTAGGTTAAAGAATGGATCATAATAATTTATCACGAGTTCGTATGATATACTATATGTTCAGTCATATCCCAGCTTGACTGGGTCAGTCAGAGACCTTACGCCAAATTCCTACTGTAACTGAAACAAACAAGAACCCAGCTGTTCCTTAATCCTAATAACACCACTGTGGTGATCGTGTTTCCATTCGCTGCGTGCGCCAGGTGCCAAGCAACGTTCAGAAGCTCACATGCCAACACTGTCACCTGCATGTCCTTCGTTGCAGGGAATCATTCAACCATTTCATCATGTAGGCGAAAGCGACAGAGCAGGACGACCACTGATTTCAGGGGGGGCACGGGCGCAGCAGCAACACCGAGAAGCAGCAACACAAGGGGCCAACACCAGGAGATGCAAAATGGGCTCTAGCAGGAGTGAGTGAGTGTGTCGTGAATCGCTGAAGAACAAGAAGAAAATGCTCAGCTGCTTCGGTTCCTTTCCTAAATTTGCTCACAGAATATTTGCCATGCAGGAGACGATTTTTTCCCATGAAAACCAAAGAAGACATCACTCGTGGTCTAGTGCACGCAAGCAAGTTCGATGCGATGATGACATGAACATGTCGAGCAACAACCTCGCCGTTCGAATGGAATGGTAACCAACCACGAAAGGGAGCATCTTTCGTGCTATTTCCAGCACCAAAATCTTCACACACACGCACAAAAGCAAGAGCAAGAGCAAGAGCAACTAGGAGCAGAGTAACTGCAAGTGCAAAAGAAAAGGAGCAGTTTTTACACCGCATTTCACCAAAAAATGCACCAAACTGGCCTAAAAGATCTCGTCTCTTGAAATGCGGAGAAAAAGACCGACGAACCAAACCGCACGAACGCTAAAACCGCGCAAAAGGTGGGATTTCCACGAAGAACCCAACAAACGCGCAAGAGTTTGGTGAGAAATGAAATTGATCGGGCGATCGACGGTACGATACGATACGAATACGAACCAGTCTCGCCGGCGTCGCTGTCCTTCCTCTTGAGGAACCTCCTGCCGCCGCCGGCGAGGACGGCCTCCCACACGCCCATCGCCGTTACGGCCGCGACCTCCGACGCGTCCACCCGCCACCAACGCAGCTTCATCATCTCGCCCGCCCCCGGACAGGCGAAAACCAAGATCGAGCAGCGTCGGCGCGCTCGCGCGGCAGCAGCGAGGGAGGGAGGCCGCTCGCTCGCCCTGCCTCCTGCGCGGTAGGCGTAGGCGCGCGGGCGGGTGGTGCGTGTTTGTGCCGGGCTATTTCGGGGGTCGAGAGCTCGTTTTAGCCGCGCGCCATGGGGACGGAGACGGACGTGTACGTACCACGAGATGGTGGGATGAAATCAATGCGTGCGCAGCAGCGTACTCCGCTACGCGGCCACGAGCACGAACGCGACACGACGCGAGTGGTAGTGGCGGCACGCCGGCACGCGAGGTGGTGTGGTTGGCCGGTTTTCTTCTACTAATATGTTGACGTGTAATTTTTTTATGCGTTCACGAAAAAAGAAGTGGTTGGTTGGTTTTCTCGCTGGATTTAAGCGACGTTTCGGTGCATGGTTTGTTCCAGGGTTGTGAGATTGTTTGGGAACCAAGAGCTGATCGTCTGTTTAGCAAAAAGGGAGATCAAAATAGGTGGACCACGCACGGTGGCGGTGGCGACGAGATAAATTGCACGCAGTCGATGGTGAGTGTGAGTGTGAGTGCGAGTACTCCGCTTTAGCCGTATCCCCGTAGCCTCCGAATTTTCAACAACTCAACATAGCACTAGTTTGCATTGCCTTCAGATAAGATTACAGCTAAGCTCATTCAAAGTTGCGGTTCTAGCGAAGTCGTTAGTACTAACAAGTAGGTCAGCTATGTAAAATTCATCGAGATAGCCACCCACCATGCATATCGCCATAATAATAACTAACATGGTGGAGTAGCTTACACGGGTCGGTTGCTTCGTATCAAACTCGGGAGGAAACAGCGGCACACGGCGCGCCACCCGGTGCGGATGGCCCAAACTAACAATGGGCTCAGCCCAAATCTCCGAGCACTTACGGCCCAATAAGGCAACACAAGATCTACAAGTCCTAGCGCGATACGACTCCGATCCGGTTCCAATTCTGTTCGCCATATATGATGATCTGCGGTTAATCAATTTCGATCATAACCAATCAATCTCTCGTCGTCGTCTCTACCCCAATCCGAATTAAGGGATCGAGATGGAGGAGGAGAAGGAGGAGATGGCGATACCGGCGGTGCCGGTGGATTTTTTTCAACTGATGATCGATGGAAGTAGCAAGCAGTGGCGATGGGGACGGCGAGGAGAGAGTAGCAATCGATCGCAATGGCGAGAAGAGAGATTGTTGATCGAGAAGATGTCCATGAGGAAGAAGATGCAGCTGGGACGATACCCTTGCTCTCGCTGCAACCAACCACGATCCCGAGGAGGAGAGACGTCCATGGCTACGGCGGCGGCGGCGGCGGCGGCGGCGAAGTGCAGGTGCTCCCGCCGGCGGCGGCTGCCCGAGCGGGAGTGGACGGCGGAGGAGGACGAGCGGCTGCGGCGGCTCGCCAAGGAGAACCTCTTCCGGCAATGGTGGAAGGTCGCCAGGGAAATGCCTGGGCGCTCCGGTGACTCGTGCCGCGCCAGGTGGCGCCACCACCTCGCCCGCGACGTCTACCACCGCCCCTTCACCGCCCGCGACGACGAGGAGCTCGTGCGCCTCCACCGCCACACCGGCGGCAGCTGGAGGAAGATCAGCCGCTCGGTCTACGGCCGCACCTCGGCCATCATGAGGGACCGCTGGATCCAGCTCCGCCGCAGCGGCTTGGTCCCCGACGCCGCCAAGACGGCGGAAAACGCCGGTTGCCCGCCGCCGGCCGCCGATGACTCGGAGTACATGGGGAGCGAGGCAGAGTTGAAGTCGCCGCCGCCGCCGCCGCAGCAGCAGCACCCTCTCGCCGACGTTCTTGCCTCGAGCTTGGATTCTTGCACCCTAGCATCCGACGCGACGGATCCCCGGGACGGCATCCTCGCGCTAGATTTCGCGTTCATGTCGGTCTGAGTCGTAAAACAGAAACGGACGATTTTGTATATATGGCGTGTTATCTTTGGAGCAAAAGGGGGGAAAGGGGGATTTGGAGGCGTTATCAAATTTTTATTTTTTTTAGAGTAAAATGATCCAGAATAACAAATAAATTGTAGATTTATGTCGGCAATGGTGTGTTTTGTGGAGAGTGGATTTTAAACTCTCGAGGAGATGACCCCTTGTTGTTTGTATGATACTTAAATTGTTAAATTAAGAAGATATATTAACATGTGATATATCACTCTACAAACATATATACTCCCTTCGTTTCACAAATGTAAGACTTTCTAGCATTGTCCACATACAACATCTAAATGAATATGGGCAATGCTAGAAAGTCTTACATTGTAAAACAGAGGAAGTACAATTTAAAATTCAATTTCTACAAATTACAAAAAAGAAAAGAAAAAACAAATTAAACTATCATATTTATTCACGGTCAAATTTTTTTTTCATTGCGACATTTAGATGCATTGCATGATTGTGGATTGATCTATCACATTAATTTATCCTGTTGATTTTTTTAAAGAAATTTATAACTACTAGCAAAATGCCCGTGTTTCGCTATAGTGTATTATAACTAAAAATATTTATTTTTAACCGAAGTTATTTTCATACTACTTTGGTACTTTTGCTTTTTAGTACATCAATTTAAACCTTCCTAGGAATTCATATGCCTAGATTATAGTGTGTTTAGTAATATCCTTAAAATTCAAGGACTTCTCTATAAAATTGACTCTTATGGTATAGAAATTCTCATATTTACGAAATAGAAAAATACTTAAAATTATTGAGATGGAAAAAGCACTGATTTTAGCCCGGCCCAAATATACGGCCCAATAGTGCGATGGCCCCATGCGGGAGAAGCTGGGACCGATGGATCCACGACCATTATAAATAGCGGTCAACCAAACCCTTAACCCTAAATCTATTTCAGCCCAATCCCCCGATCCTCTTCCTCTCTCTCAAAGCGACCGCGGCGGCGACAGAGCCTGGCGACGGCGCCCTCCTCCCCCCCTCCCGCGCGCGCGCAGCGGCTTCCCGCGCCGCTCCGGTCGACCACCGGCTCCACCCCGTCCTCCTCTCCTCGTTGCGGTGGCCCCCTTCCTCGGCAGCGGTGATGACCTCCTCCTCCATCCCCCTCTTGCGGTGGTCGAGCAGCGGCGGCGACGACGCCCTCTCCAAGCGGCTGTGGCGGTGCCCTCCCCCACCGTGAGCAGCGGCGGTGGAGGTGCCCTCCTGCGGCTTCCCACGGGCGGATCCGGCGGCGACGTCGGCTTCCCGCGTCGGTCCAGTCGACCACCGGCTCCACCCCGTCCTCCTCTCCTCATTGAGGCAGCCCCCTTCCCCGGCAGCGGCTACGACCTCCTCCTAGTTGGGCGCAGGAGTAGGCGGCGGTTGGAGCAGGTGTTGCGGTGGCGGACACGACAGCGACGAGCTGGTGGCGGTGGCGGGCACGCTAGGGCTCCTCTCTTTGTGATGAATTTTTAAGAGATTTGTTTTTCATTTTTTTCTCTTTTTAGTTGATTTTCCCCTTGTGATTGAATCTGTGATGAATTGGCTTCCCAACGAGGTGAATCTGTGATGAATCGGCTGCAAATCCGTGGGTGGTTTAGTGGGTTTCTTTTTTTTTTTTTTGCGATTTCTTCCATCCCTAACACAATCGAATTAGGATGTACAGGTTTACGGTCGAATACACGGACAAAAAATTAAGGTGATGAAAGGAAAAATACGAATCTTTTAAATAGTTAATATTTGAGTGGCATTTAAATAATAAGTAGACATTCTCTCGAGGGTTTATAATAGTTTTCATGTTTTGTGTTCTTACCATGTTAACATAGGTTGAAAATGATAAGAGAGGAGCGGGCTCTTTGGGAGCTTCTAAGCTTTAACAATCTCTAGCTACTCCAATCAATTTAGATATAAAAGCCACAAAATGAACTACATAAAAACCAGGACGCAACTCAGAATCGGGTGCTCGATCCTGGGGTAGGAAAATCCGGCGCCATTATGCTGATGTCAGACGCAACTCAGAATCGGGTGCTCGATCCTGGGGTAGGAAAATCCGGCGCCATTATGCTGATGTCAGCAAGATGCAAGATGCATGTGTGCAAAATCACTTTAAACTATTTTTTCTCTTAAATTATTTATCTAAATTATGATCTGATTGCACCATTAAATTCGTTGCAATTAAATCTTTAAAACAAGATCACACATGGATATATTCCAACAAAAAAAATTAGCTTATTATTGAATTATTTTTAAATGTTGCATACTGTTCCAACAAGTATATCGGAATTGTTTCACTAAATTGAAATGTTTCAATTGTTTAAATCGGGCGTTGTTTCACCTTATATAAAAACAATATTTTAGTTCACTGCAAGATTTGATCCTTACACAGTGAAACATTATAAATACACTAGGTGAAACATTTTTGTGGAACAAAAAATGAAACGAATTCCCTTAACAAAAGAATGTTTCAATTCACTACAACATTAGGTATATATATATATAGTGAAACATTATGTGTACACTACTTGAATTCCAAAATATGTGGTGATTTTTGCAACGGAGTATGTGGTGGAAACACGTGGTAGGTTCGGTCACGGACATGTGGTGGGCCAGGGCGGCACGTGCGCGCGTGTGTGTGGGGATGGGGGGGAGCGACCGATTTCGCTCCCTCCCTCCGATCGACTGATCGGGAGCAATTTCGTAAAAACCGGAAGCTGAAAACTTCATCTTAATTTTTTTAAAATAGGACATTAGGCATAACACTAATTTCCAATAACAAACTACAACTGTATACTAATGAGTCATGACTCGTTAATAACAAACTAGAACACCACACCGCCCGAAGCGGACGGCCTGAATTGACGATGCACTCACCCCAAATCGCACAAAGCGGCAGGATTGCTAATTGGCGCGTGCGCGCCAGATATCGATATGGCGCGCGCGGCCCCCACCATGTCTCTTTTGCGTCTTTTTCTCTTTTTTTCGCGATTCTTTTTCGTTTTTTCTCTCTCTTTTTTTGATTTTTTTTTCACGCCAATTAGCAAGTTTTAAACCATAACTTGAAAATTTTTAAATCTTAACTTTAATTTTTTCAAATTTGGATTTGAAAGTTTTCAAATCTCAAGTTGAAAATTTTCAAATATCAAGTTAAAAGTTTTCAAATATTTCAAATCTGGATTTGGAAGTTTTCGAATATCGAGTTGAAAGTTTTCAAATTTTCAAATCTCAAGTTGAAAATTTTCATTTTTTTTCAAATCTGGACTTGAAAGTTTTCGATCTCGAGTTAAAAGCTTTCGAATCTGAGTTGAACGTTTTCAAATCTTGAGTTGAACGTTTTCAAATCCGAGTTGAAAGTTTTCAAAATTTGACTTAAAAATTTAAATCTTAAATCGAAAGTTTTCGAATCTAACTTAAAAAATTTTCAATCTGTTAGTAAAAAATCTAAAAAAAAAAGAGAAAATCTTCATAATCTTCCCTAATTAGCCGTCATTAGCGTTAAATGTTATAGTTAAGCAGGAAACGCGGGTGGTGGTTCCATGCATGCATAGCTAGCCCATCCAGGATTCCCGGTCCGATTCTAACTTTATGCCAACGAGGACGCGTTGCCATATAAGATCATCCAATGCATCTAGTGAATCGATCCCGATCGATCAGAATTAATCTTATCTCCCGTCCTCCTCGTCGCCGCTACTCGCCATCGACGATCCCATGGAATCAGGATCGATGGATATCACAGCCATCGACGATCCCAAGGAGTTTGACATGCTGCTGGGACGATGGCACCCGATCGAAGGAAGTAGCGGCTACGACGGGTCACCGTTTTGTGAAAAGAGGATCCAGATCGTGACGGGGAAGACGACGACACCGCCGCCGCCGCCGGCCACACCGTTGTGTGCGGCGGCTAGGGGCAGGTTTGCTGCCTGCCCCGCCGTCAGGCACCGTACGCCCAAGGAGAACGCGCGCCTCCGGTACGTCGACTCCGGCAGGCAGCGCCGTGCCGCCGAAGGGTGCACGCCGCTGGGGCGCTCCCGCGACGTGCGGCGCCACCGGCGCGTCTACCGAATCACCGTCTTCGCCGCCGTCGACCACGACTCCTTCGCCGCCCGCGGCGCCGAAGGGACCATGCTCCTCCACCGCCACGTCCAACGCTCGGTCGTCGATGGCCGCGCCTCGCGCATCTCGGTCGGTTGCCGGATCAAGCACCACCGCCTGAGCGGCTTGGTCCCCGCCGCCGAGACGGGCGCCACTTGCCCGCCGCCGGCCGCTGACTCGGCGGCCATGGAGGGCGGCGTCGCGGAGTCAGAGTCGCCGCCGCCGCCGCAGCACCCTCTCGCCGACGCTCTCGCGTCGAGCTTGGATTCTTGCACGCTGGCCTCAGACACGGCGGATCCCGGGGACGGCGACCTCGCGCTAGATTTACCGTTCATGTCAGTTTGACAGAGGAGACAGCAGCCTCGCGCTAGATCGAGTTAGTGATCTACTTAGGTTGCATGCATATTTGATTTCAATTTAGGTTACCAAATTAGCACGCATGTTTGATCACGTCTCAATTTGAATAAAGCTCTATGCTCACCCTACAGATCAATGCAGCATTTTACTATCATTTACAAAGGTAAACTTTATAATCGTCACAATATTTTCTTAACAGCCATCCATCTATATACACATACATACACGACAGAAGAACAATCCCACGGCAGATTGTGATTCGTAAATAATATTACAGCGGTGCAAATTCCATCAGTAGTATAATTAATCATGTTACCTAGAGATCCAGCCTGACAGCCGCAACACAAAACATCACAACAGAAGCAGGTGCGTTCGTCGTCGTGCGGTAGGCCCATGTATTTGTATTTGATTAATGCACAGATGGTAGAGAGTGATTCAGACATCTCAACCAGAAGCAACTGAAGATGCATGAACTGTACAGGAGAAAATGGAGCATTACCATCCATGAGCTTCTCGCATGTTTGCATCCTATTTTTTCCTTTTTTATTTCATTAATTTGATTTGATCACAGCGTTTGGTTTCCTTTCCCCGTTTTCAATTGCAAGGTCTGCCGCAATTGCTTGTGTTCTCCAGTGATCATGCTTGCCGTGCAACCAACATCAAATCAGCTGCTGAAAATTGCTACTTGAACACTGGACGAAACCAATCGAGTGAAAGGCTTTAGTAGCTTCTTGTTTGGCTCAGCGGATCGTAGTCATATGCTTCGCCAGCCTTTACAAACCGTCCTTTGACCCTTTTTCTCACATCTGCCCTAGCCTTACGAGAAGCATACCTTATCTTCTTGTCAAATCTGTTAAGAAGAAAATATGTGAAGAAAGGCCATATAATAACTTCTTTTAAGAAAAACATAAAGTAGCATTCACACTAGGAGCAAGCATCCACATGTCTAAAATGATCACGTGTATACGAAAATATCGATTTGGCACAGTAAGCTTTTTAATATAGAATTCCAAATCTGAAAATTGAATGATACTGCAGCCACATTCTTAGCTGTAATGCATTTAACCATGGCATATCAAGTACTAGTATGAACTTACTTTCAAAAAACTGAAAAAGCACAGTAAGATGCACTTACTTTCTTCTCTTCTTCTTCTCCTTGTACCGTGTAAGAGCATTATCTCTGCTGCCTCCAGCAGATGAACTTTCAGGACCAGGAGGATGCCAGGGTGGCTCACCCATAAGGATCATTGACGATACCCCACAATCTTGAAAATATCCAGCACTGCTTTCACCAGTCAAACCAGAGAAGGAAAGGGATATGTTGGATATAGCCTGCCTACCAGGAATACAATGGCTGGAATCAGCCCTTGCAGCTGGGTTTGACATCCCAGAATCAACAGATGCGACATTGCTACATTCTGGCTGCACAGGTTTGGGCTGCTGAAAGTATAACAGTCATACCAAAATTTTAGTAAAATAATTAATAGCCATAAAATGGACGATGAGATATGCAGACATTCCACTCCTAATTAACCCAATCAATCATTTAATGATTCTCAGTAAAATGGTAGGGTCAACTCGATATAAGCACAAATGGAGGAAAACGAGATTAACCCTGATTATGGCGGGAAGGTCAGAAATAGCAAAACAGAGCTCTTTTCCTACAACAAACACAGCAGATAAAAAGACTATATGCAGAAAGGTACGGACCTCATTAGATTCATCTGCTGGCACATCCTTCATTTCAAAATAACTGTCAATTCCAGCATCATCAAAGAGTTGTTCTGTTTGAACGTGAGAGGTACCGAATAATTCTTCATAATTCTCAAATGTTAGGTCAGCATCATCCACACAGAAGTCTCCATATACGCTCCCATCATTGAACATATCTTTGTCTGTGACACAGGGTGCCTGAATTATGCAACCAAGTTTCGATAAGCACGCAGTGACACCATAATGACAGGCATCGCAGATGACATTTTCATGAATAATGATATTGGAAATACACAAATTCCAACTGCAGCAATTGTTCAACCATCATCATTAGGGAATTATAAGATCTAGGTGAATTCACATTCAATGGTAAAATTATTAGAAGATAAGAGTAACTTGCTCGGCAGGAGAAAAACACCAGGAAAGCTTTGACAGTGTGGAACTCTTAAGAAAGTAGCAAACAGTAATAAATAATGACCAAAAGATGGTCATTGTACCATTGGTCAAACTACAGAAAGTTTTCCCTTCGAACGTTCACTTCTAGAAGAATACCAAAACAAAGTACATGGTCGAAACCGCAACCACGCAGTGTGAACATTTGGTGTAATAATATGTCCATGCAATATGTTATGACCTATGCAGAAACTTAGCAGAATACTTGAATAGGTTTTGGAGGGGAATGAGAAGCATGCACCTTAGGCGTCGTTGAAACTGGCTCAGCTGGCTGATCTGAATTAAGTGGCAGAAGATTCATCCCATCTCCTGAAGAAGAACCTATTAAAGGTTTGAACTTGTCTCCTGTAGGTAAATCACTCATGAGTGCTGTGCTAGCTATATCCAACAAGCGGCCATCTTCTGGAGCACCACAATGGTTATTGACGTCATTGTCATTAATGCTCATCATGTTTATTCCTTCCTCACAGTTTGGCTCCGCAGCTACAGTTGGGATATCCATACTAAAGGACCAGATTCTCGAGAGCTCTGCCGACGATGGGCACCCCGAGTAACAGTTTATGGTCTGCCTTTTATGCCCAGCAGCTGAGGATGCTGCCCCATGTCCATTCCAGTCACAGTTTTGGCAAAGTGAGGTGTTCTCTTCAAGACAACGGACTGCTGCAGGCTGTCCAACACAACGATCACAAAGAAGGGTTCTTGTATGGCGTCGGGAAAGGGCATTGGCTGAATGCACATTACGATCACACGACAAGCACAAGGATGCTGCATCTGATCGGCAATAGACCATTGACCTTTGCTCCCTGCAGAAATCACAAAGAGCATCCATGGTCCTGTACAGTACTGGAGCACTTCCACTAGCACTGAGTGCCACAAGAACAGCCACCTTCCTGGCTTTTTGTTCAACAGTTGAATTCAGTGGGATCCTACCAGGATACTGGTGTGCAAAAAGCCAAAAACAAAAATCAGTAACAACAAAACAACAAACTTATAATTGAACATTATGGAAAGAGAGTAGTATATTTTTTTAATGGAAAATATAGCAAATATGTGCACACTTCAAATTAGAAAAGAAGGGACAGATTTTGCAGCCCATGTTACATGATGAGTTTGTTTCCATTCCTTGGTAAGTGTTGGAGATATATAAGTATATTGATACAGGCCATGAAATGAACCACTTGAATTGCTCTGCAACCAACAGAAACATTTCAAATGTATCACAACAAGAGCAATCAATATATTCATTGACTTAGTAACAATTTAAAATATAGGTAGCGTATAACAATTTGTGAAGAGTTTTGAGTTTTATTATCCCACCCAAGATTTGCTAGCAAGGGCATAAAGAACTCAAAAGTCTCTGAAATAGAAGGGCACAAAACTACTTGCAGGAAGTTTTTCTTGGTAAATGTTACGGTTTTATCTTCTATCCTATGTACTGTCAGTCTGTAACCTGTAAGCGCATGTTCTCTGTAAAGCATATAAGGGGGAAAAAAGTATCCATGTTTAAAAAATAAGGGTCAATAACACCAATTCACTAGACAAGTCTAGCAGAGAGCAGTACAATGCATCTGATAACAATGGAAAAACATGAAATTAGCAACATGGAGCTATGCAGCAAACAAATGCTAGCTGCAGTTGATAGCATTTCTGAGTTAATAAAAGTCACTTTTCGTACCAGCATGGGATGGCTTATTAGCATGCATGGGCAAGAGCTAGAAGCGGCAATACAAATAGGACTTCACCAGCTGTGCATCCAACAATGATCCTGGTTGCTCATTTTATTATGTCCCTTTATTTTTGACGCTGGTATGTCCTATTTTGCATATCAAAAGGGCACCTTTTCTGAGCACTAATCATGTAAATCAACAAGCATGCATCTCCACAATACAAACAATTTTATCGGGACTAATCCTAAGTTTTAAATAGCACTAACCCCACTTCTCTGATCATATAAAGCATGCCGTGTGTGGATAAAAGCAACAAACTTTCTGAGCCACTCAAATAAGCAAGAGAAATGTTATTTTGTTTTTTAAGATTATCCAAATTTAAGAATACAAAAGGGCTTCCTTTCTGCATCTAACCGCAGTTGCCGCTACACGACTATTATGTCAGTAGACAAAAGGGCAGAGGGGATGAAATTGTTAATATTTTCTAGTTGAAAACTGAACTGGATACTGAAACATGCTAAGCCATCGTACTTGTATGTACTCCAATTAGAGAAAGAAAAATAATCAAATTCTGAGCAGCTAAAGTCCAGCTCAAAGCTAAAGCCGGACCAAAAACCACTCACGTACGCTCCACGCAACACGAGAGAAAGCGTGAAGTGTCCGCAAAAAGAAAGAAAACCAAAAAATCAGTTCAGACTCCCCAACACCAAACACCCTGGAACACCACAGAAACGATCAAGCGGACTCGAAATCGAACACTCAAACCCAATCCCCCCCAATCCACCGACATCCATGATCCATCCCCCCTCCCAATCCCAATCCCAGCCCCCTAATCCAGCAGCAGCTCACGAAATCCACCAAACAAGCGGCGCTGATGCGGCTAGCCTACACAACGCAAATCCAACCCAATCCAATCCCCACCAAACAAACAAACAAACAAACAGCTCGAGCTCGCGAGACCGGACTCACCGAATCGGCGCCGCCCCGGATCCACCCCTGCTGCGGTCGTCGGCGGCGGCCGGCGGAGGAGGACGACGACGAGGGACAGGTATCGAGAATCTTCCACGGAAACTCGAAAATTAAAAAACGACTTTTCTGGTGCGCGAAAGGGAGAGCGAGCGAGGAAGAGATAAGCGAGGAGAAAATGGAACAACAGGTGGAGAAGCACAAGAGACGATGCGCGAGCGAGAGAACGAGAAGACGAGCAGCGAGTGGGGGGAGGGGAGAGGAGGTGGATGAGGAGGAGGGGGCGGTGGGCCCCACCCGGGGTGCCCTTTTTGCGCTTTTTGCTCGAGAGAGAGGGGCAGGACCGTAATTTGCGTCCGAGATAAGGGGGATCCAGGGCGGGCGCCACGTGCGCGGTCCTTTCGCCAAGTGGCGGCCCGAGCCGATTGACTGTTCTGCCCCTCGCGGAGGTCTCACTCGCACACCGCTTTGTCGTGACGGGGTTGATGTCATTTTAAATTATAGAGTTATCAAAAATATGTAATCTCTTCGTTCTAAAATATAAGAATTTAGACAGATAGTATGTCCAAATTCATAGTATTAAAAAATATTTCATCCGGTTCTAAATTCTTATATTTGGCTTTCTAGATTTGTAGTACTTGAAAATGTCTTATCCGGATCCAGTAATAGATTCTTATATTTTGGGACGGAAAAAGTATGTGTTTAGTTTTTCACTAAACTTCAATAGATACATAAGAAAATCATACCAAAATTTTAATAAATATTGCCAACTTATTAAAATTTTGATATTGTCAAAATTTGGTAAGTTTTATTTTGACTACAATTTGAACAACTCATTCGTTTCACTCTCTCGTCTTCGCCTTGCCTCGCGCTGTTGGTTTATACGGCGAAATTCGCCAAGTGCAGACGCTCGTTGCGGCGGCTTGCCGGCTGGCTGGCTGCCGTTCCGTCCGATCTTTTCACATGGTGCGAGGAACAAACAGATCCAGGCAAAGGGAGTTCTCGCGGAAGCAACCACACAAGGAAAAAACCAGGCCATGCAATGTTTGTGTGAGGGTAGTAACCAAACTAGTTTATATATACGGATTAAAATCCTTTGACAAATCACTGACATGTGGGTCCATAACAAAGAGGGCTCACATGTCAGTGACTCAAAGTCATGTGACTTAAAAGTTAGAGGATCTCGATCCCATATATACGGCATAATCGAACTCTAGTGATGAGGTGCAGAGATTAGGCGACAGATGCTATACTTCAACCATAAATTTAATAACGAAGATATTATGATTGTCACAATATATGAACAATCAAGCCTAGCAATGTTTGTCATGGTATCTCGCACCTAGTCTAATCTATCCTAATAGAAGGTGCTACGTTTAAAGGATAATATAAATCATATAATATAATGTGATTATGAAATTATGGAATAAAGTTTGTGAATTTAGAGATAAAATAACGAAGTTGTGGTTGCGTGGTGAAATAGCGATCTTACCGATTTAGGAGTGCATTCTCAACGACCGATCATCGGAAGCCTCTGATTATAGTGTACTTGCAGCAAGTGGATGAGCATGCCATTTATATATAGGGTGTCGTAAGCAAGTGACTCACGGGTTCTTCTTTTACTCCATTCGATTCTGAATGTTAGTAACATTGACAAAAATATATGAAACGAGTATATATTTGAGATAATTGGCTGGTCACGAAGGATGGAACGCTTTCTTTTGTGAAACAATATAATGCAGTTCGCATTGAGGGAAAATTAAGGTAGGAAAGGTCGTTGCATCATTTCAACCGTCACCAAACGATCATTCGTACTATAAAGTATGAACATGAGAGATATGTACTGTCTATATATATTAGCTTCGATAATATATAACATACTAAATGACATTAAAAAAAATAAAGCAATGACAACAACAGTCACATTACATCATTTTTAGTTTTTATACGTTCTCTTAACCTCGGCTCCACGAGATCATAGGCTGTATATCTTTCCTTATACTCCGTCTATCCCATAAAAAACCAATCTAATATTGGATGAACGTATCATCCAATACTAGGCTGGGTATTTTTTATATGAAGGGAGTAGTCTTAAAGGTGTGTGTGCTTTATACATTGACGGTGTTTGAAATGACAAATAAAAAAATAAAGTGGGCCAATAATGCAAATCTTATGAAATTTTTATAATGGCTCCAACAACGTACTGTAGTTATTTGAACTTACGAGGATTGGGCAAACATTGGTACATCATTTGGTTGTCTCGCACGCTTGTTGCTATCTAACATGGATTATGAACAAGTTGCTCAATTGTGAGGATTTTTCTTTTTATTATGGTTGATTGGTTGACCGCTTTTCTCAAATTTAATTGATGATAAAAAAAATTATTGAAAGCAAGTTTCAAAAAAAAATTTTCTTCAAAGCAAAAGAAAGAAGAAGACAGGACGGTATAACATTTATTACTCCTACCTTGGAATTTACATTTTGTGATTACTTCTGACGCAAACAAAAAACAAACATATTATCGAGACTCGCTAACCATGTGCAGTTGTTTATCTGAAAAGGATAGAGCAACCATCAAATTGGTCTCTCAAACAGTAGAACATGAAAAGTCACCAATATACATGGTACTCGAACAGTTGAATCCAAAAGGTCGTTGATACGCGAAGTGAGTATAATTTAACTGGTTAGATTTTTTTAAACCAGTTCATTCAAGTTTAAATTCTAGATTTAATATGGGTGTTCATATTTACGGCTACTTATCCTTTCAGTGGTAGGTGACACATCCGTTGCGTCCGTGGTGAGTTATCAATCTCAAGATATACCGATTTATTCTTTCAGAGGTGCTCATAGCGTGTGTGCATTCATCTAGGTAATATATGTATCGACAGCGAGGTGTCCATGGTGACTTAGACTCAGTCTTTCAGATATGCTCATAAGGATAGGGTATGCACGTGCGTTATGAATGCCTGCATTTGTACTGTTTTTTTATAAAATATACAAAGATCGCTGATACGGTACAAGTCGCGCGCTTTTAGAAGGATGAACAAAGTTTGGAGAATACCATCACTCCATCAGTCTCTAAAGGTTAGACGTGCAACGCTCCTTGAAAAATATGCTAAGTGTGAAATATTATCTTCTATTTGAAGGCAATATATGCATTTTTTAACGAAATGATAGAATGTAGTGTCATCAAAAAGGGCTACGTAAAGAACGGTTTTACATTATTTTAACTGTCGCTGCAAGATTCTTCAAGCAGTATGAACAATTTTAACCGGACTGGTTTTTGATTAACTTCATAAACAATAATATGGAACGGCGTCGCAAAACAATTATGGCATCTATTATCTACTCCTCTCCTTTCATATTATAACTTGTTTTGATTTTTTTAGCCAATTTTCTTTAAATTTGACCAAAATTATAGAGAAACAAAATAGCATTTTAATACAAAACAAATATATTATAATATATTATTGAAATATATTTAATTAAACCAATTTAGTGTTCTAGATGTTGCTAGATTTTTTCTATTAACTTGATCAAACTTAAAAAAAATTGATTAGAAAAAAATCAAAACGACTTATAACATGAAACGGCGTGAGTAGTTGTTAGCTTACCGCTAGTACAAAAGTTAAAGTTTAGAGTTAATTTTGGAAGATTTTTCATCACAATCTATTTTTAACCCCTAACTTTTAAACCGACAAAACATATTACTCCCTCCGTTTCATAATGTAAGTCATTCTAGCATTTTCCACATTCATATTGATATTAATGAATCTAGACATATATCCATATAGATTCATTAACATCCATATGAATGTGGGAAATGGTAGAATGACTTACATTGTGAAACAGAGGAAATATATAAGGTCACTTTATTTTTTTAAAAAGGGTCAAATAAGTAAACTAGAAAAAATAATGTCAATTTGATACTTAGGTTCTGAAATATGGTCAAATGAGCAATTGTTTCTATATAAAAAATTTACTGATAAATTGATGTCATAGTTAATGTTGTTTTGTTTGGGCTTATGAGTTACTCCCTCCGTCCCAAAATAAGTGCAGTTTTGCACTATTCACGTTTAACGTTTGACCGTTTGTCTTATTAGAAACTTTTTATGATTAGTATTTTTATTGCTATTAGATAATAAAACATGAATAGTACTTTATATGTGACTAATTTTTTTTTAATTTTTTCATAATTTTTTCAAATAAGATGGATGGTTAAAGGTTGGACACGGATATCCACAGCTGCACTTATTACGTAGGTAGTATCAATCCTAGCTTGTTCATTGCATCCAGCTGTCATTGGAAGATTCTTACTACCATGAGCCTATGATAGGTTAAAATTATCTGCAAATTATCTGAAGGTAGTAGTAGCGTTCCTGCAAATTATCTGTTGGCAAAAATACCCCTAAGCTGAACTGAAGCATATCCAGGAGGAATCAACACAAGGGGGAGCAAGTGTCCTTTTTGGGGTCCAGTGGGTGGAGCCCACCTCCTGCCAGGACTAGCCAGTGGCAACTAATCGCCGGTTTCCAAGTGGATTGCAATTTTGACTGTTCACCGTTTAATTTTCATCGTCCATCCTGGCGTGCAAACTGCCTAAAATTCGAAGACTGTTGGCAACATTTACTGTGTTCTTGTCGTGTACCAACATGAACACGCACCGGTGTGTATGTCTCAACTTAGAACCTGTTTTACACAGTTTCAGCTCCAACTCCATCTCTCGGGAGCTGGAACTCAGCCAAACAGTTTAATCTCTATTTAAAATAGAAGTAGAGTTGGGTGGAGCATTCTCAAAAAATAAATTAGAGAGGTAAAGCTGGGTTTAGGCAACTCCATAACTTCACTTCAGATTTAACTCCTGAAACTAAATTTAGGAATTGTAAATATACTAAACGGGCCATTAAATTCATGTAAAGATATATGAAAAACTGATTCGAGTTAACAAAAGCTAGGGGCAACTAGTAATTTAAACTCTCCTAACCTCACAAACAAATCTCAAGATTTTCACAAGCTATGCCACACGTATTGTTTCTCGGTGACTATATTCTAGTGGTTTTCTGCCTAATAACTTTATTATTATCTACACTTTTTTCTCTATTTTCATAGCATGGTTTTCAAACCAGGAAATGAAACAGAAAAAGAAAAAAAAAAGGACCAGCCAAAAGCCAACCTTTTTACCGCTGCTGCTCACTATGCGTTCCGTACTGGCCGTCGCGCTCGTTGATCCGGCACAAGAAAAAAAACGGAGCGGATGCACGTTTTTCACGTATAC